GTCACGATTATCTTAACCGAAATATCTCAACAACGAAGCATGGAATAAGAATCTTCAAGAACGTTACTTCTCAGTTTTTAAGTTAAGAGAATAAAAATTTTCACTTTAATTTCCAAGAAAACACCAACAACATTTCTTGTCACTAGTTCAAATCGTGCAAATTGATGTGCTCTATGATTAACAATATAATTAATTATAGTTTTTTGCCTGTGCTGGTGTAAACATACCTCTTCTCATTTGTTTAGATCCAGACGTTTAATGAAAAAAATCGGTCAACCTCAGCACTTTTTATTTTTACTTCATTATATACTAATTAATTTTTAGTCTAGATTTAAGGCAAGGGCATAAACATATAATCAGGGAATCGTATTGGAATTTGGGATTTTTATAATCTGCCACTGTTTTTAATCGGGATATATTTCGTTATGATCAACGCGCAGGAATTTATGGACTCATGTTTATAATCTTTATCATGTTTGTCCACGTTTTCCTGGGCACACGTTTATCCTCTTTACAAACTTTACAAAATACCTTGTATTATCCTGAATAACTTGCAAGATGGTTTATCTGTGTTTTCTTTCTCGAGCACTAAGTCAGAACACGTCAGATGCAATTAATTTAATAACAATTTCAAACCAGTTTATCTCAGCTGGCCGGCAGAGCGGAACTCTCAACAAAAGAGCAGGGGATATTCAGAATGGGAAGGAGAATTCATAATGTTGTTCGAACACTTTATTTGAGATAAAGACGTAAAGATAAAGACGATAAATTAAATTGATTCCACATTTAGAAGCACTATTCACCAACTAAAAAAAGTTTTTCAGAACGTGGGACGTTTTACAATACAAATGTTTCAGTTTTGCTCAAACTTTACGATACTTACAACAACCTTGGTACAGTTTATCATGATACAGGTGACGTGAAAAAGGCTAGTAAAGGTTATCATCAACAGAATTATCATCACCCGTGCGCACGACTGTGCTGGCAACCTATTCAGAATCCAAAAATAATCTGAACCAGTTTCATAATCTAAACCAGTTTCATAATCTAAACCAGTTTCACAATGAACGTAATCGCTACCGCTTTACGCGAAACAACAAGCCAGTGATGCAAGAAACGATGGCACCTACAGGAAATATTGTTCCAAAATGCCATTTTACAGGAAATATTGTTCGAAAATTCCATTTAAAAAAGACTCGACAACAGCCAGACTGTCTAGTTTCTTTAGTGTGCATGGGCACTGGAAATTGACGGTACAGTTTATCATGATACAGGTAACCTGAAAAAGGCTAGAGTTTATCATCAACAGAATTATTATCACCCGTGCGCACGACTGTGCTGGTTTTCAAACATTTATCAAAATGTATCAGAATCAAAATTTAATCTGGACCAGTTTCATAATCTGAACCAGTTTCACAATGAACGTAATCGCTACCACTTTACGCAAAACAACAACCCGGTGAGGCAAGAAACGATGGCACCTACAGAAAATATTGTTGCTTACATACAAGATCGATCACAAAACGAGAGATATGATGGTCCAGATTTGTCGCGCTTATTAGGGCCTCGACCAAGAGAGGCTAGAAATGCACGAACATGCTATCCCCTTCTCCTACGCCCCTGTTTAGAGTGGCTGTTCCTCCTGAAGTGATAGGAAGACTTTACTTTGTGATAAGCAGTCTTCCATGCAGATGATTATCTACCACAGCTTCATCAGGTTATCGTTAATGATAATATTAATTACCAAACCGTTTAGAATGTCGATTCCACTTGCAGTGATAGGAAGACTTATCCTCGTGATAAACTGTCTTGTGAAAGAATATTTACCGTCACTTGATCATGTTATCACTGATGGTCATCTTAACAACAATGCTCTACGACATGTGGAAATTAGTCTACTCATACACGAAGAGACGATGTCCTAGAAATTTTACAACAAACCATGGCAGGAAACTAATTATGGAGCAAATTATCCAATTCTTGGATATTTCCCCGTGACCTTTAACGAGCAAATGTATCATAAACATTTAGACTTTGCGGTAAACAAACATTTGATGGGCGTCGTATTTCTTTCAAATATCCCGTATTCTTCATGTCAACTAAAGCATTAGCTTAGTTTGCTTAAAACAACAATACAGTGCGACAAGAAATCGTACAACATTATTAGAGTAAAACATTGGCATCGAAACAAAAAGATCTTCAAATCAGATTAAAATTGTATGGAGAAGACCATTCTGACACTGCTAGAAGTTATAACTACATTGGAGTTACACAATTATACTGTCAATATGAGACGAAAGATTACAAGTCAGCGTTGGAGTCATATCAGCATGCTCTTCAAATCAGATTAAAACTGTTTGGAGAAGACTAATCTGATACTGCTCTAAGTTATTACAGCATTGGAAACACACAATATGAGATGAAAGATTACAAGTCAGCGTTGGAGTTATGACTGTTGGAGTTATGATGTTCTTCAAATCAGATTAAAATTGTTTGGAGAAGACTATTCTGACACTGCTCTAAGTTATAACAACATTGGCGGTACACAACATGAGATGAAAGATTACAAGTCAGTATTAGAGTCCTGAAATAAAAACGTTCTTCAAATCATAAACAGCTTTATCAACTCATAAATTACAACGCCCTCCAACATGTGGAAAATAGTCTAACACAGACAGGAAGAGACGATATTCTATTTCCTACATTGGCTCAAATACAAGCCTACTGTATGAAATGAAAAGAATTAACATTATTTTCTCACTCTAACCAACCCCTGGTCGATTATCATCTGCGGCACGAAAATTATGGTATCCTCCGTAGAAGGAAAATAAACACCAGTGTCAATGCAAACTAAACAGTCTAAACCTCCATTCCAGTTTGGTCGAGGAAAACTGTTATTATCACACAGTTGAATCCGCAACAGCTCCAGGCCTTCATCACTGAAATCAATAACTGCCACGAGGGAATTTTAAATTCCATACAATTCCATGCCACAGCTCCATCTAACGAGATGATCAATGCCTTAGTTTATAGTAACGCCCTTACAGAGATGCTATTTTAGTGGACAAAAGTGTGTCTTTTGTATTTTAAACTTTGTCTTCTGACTTAGCCAACCACCACAACGACCAATTGATGGCAAATTCATGTAAACGTTCTGGGTTGGGTTTTGTATTAAAGAACAATTAGGTCCAAACTATGTCAAAATTGCTGTTTTTTACAACAGCCTGGATACATTATATCTTGAAAAAGTGAACTGGGAAAAGCTAAGGATTATCGTCAACTGGCACTGCATGATAATTGGAATAGAGTAATTATGCATAGCAACTGCCAAGCAGTTTACCACTTCACCAAGTTACCATGAACGGCTATTTGATGGCCACTTCATTCATGGCCGCATTGATGAAAAGGTGGAAAACAGTCTCAAAATCAAAGGCACGATGTTCTATAACTTTTACACGAAACAATAGCAGGTAAAATAGGGAAAAGGGATTGTTCAAACAATAAACCCCTACACAAAGCTGTGAAGACTTGCCATCCTCCTCAGATGTTTTCTCGTAACTTTTTACGAGCAAGCCTGTGCACGGTTCGAAAATGACATTTAAAAAAAAACTTGAGGACAGGCTAGACTGTCTAGTCTCTCTAGTGTGCATGGGCACTGGAAATTGACGAAAAACATGCAATTAATAAGGAAAAACTATGCTGATGTTGTTGGTTCTTACAATAACCTAGGCGTGGCGTGTCATGATCAAAGTGAACTGGGCTAAGGGTTGTATACCAATTTTGAAGTGGCTCGTGAAATTCTCAAAAAACTCGTGTTGAAAATGCATTTAAAGACTAGGACTTCCAATTATTGAAATCAAATTACAGTTGTGAGAAACCATTACAAACAAGCCATAGAATTTGCAAACAAACTTGAAGGATTGCAATTTGATTTTCATTCCAATTGTGGCAATGCTGTGTCTAACGTTCACAATATATTGTTCATTTCTCTTTCATGCTCCGGGAGACATCCCTTGCCAGTAATGTTTTTTATGGATGGCTCTTTGTCACTGTTATTTACCTCAAATCATTCTTCAAATCATTTCTCCTATTTTGTTATCCATAATACATTGACTTCTTACCTAATCTTTCCTTTACGTAAATGAAAATAGTGGCAGATAATAAAACATTCCAATTCCAAACAAAATTACATGGTAATTAGATATATCCAAAACTTTGGCTGGTTATAGGAAATCTCGGTTAGCTGATGGAACAACCCCCAAAATACTACACCACATCTTTCTCTGCCATAAAATATTGTACAAATCATTTCGTTATTCGTATCATTGATAAAAATACAGGATAAGGGTGGGTATAGTCTCAAGTTTAGTTTTTCGTATGGATCACTATCTTGGCTGGTCCGCCGTTCTTTCTGTGGGCGTGCTTATTTCCAGTGTTGTAATTCAGAGGTGTAGTGGAATGGGG